GCATGATGGTAATATGCCTATAATACCAGCATTTGGGAAAGACAGATGGGAAGATCAGAGTTTGAAAACAATCTGGACTATGTGAAATCCTGTCTTAGTGTCCCCTCACACCCCCCAAAGTAGCTCCCAGAGATATTTTTTATTTTATGTGTATGCATGTATTGCCTGCATGTTGGTAAGTGCACCCATGTTATACAGTGCCTGCAGAGGACAGAAGAGGCTGTTGGATCCCCTGGAACTGGAGTTACTGACAGTTGTTAGCTGCCATGAGGGTACTGGGATTCAAACCTGGGTCTTCTGCAAGAACAATCAGTGTTCTTAACCGCTGAGCCATCTTTCCAGTCCCAAGGCATATTTTATAAATAAAAAAAGATATGAAAGGTTATGTGCGCCTTTAATCCCAGCACTTGGGAGGCAGAGGCAGGCTGATCTGTGTGAGTTCAAGGCCAGCTTGGTCTACATAGTGAGTTCCAGTACAGCTGGGGCTACAGGCAGACCCTGTCTCAAAAAGACCACAAAAAAAAAAAAAAAAAAAGCAAACTTAGGGGCCAGTGGGATAAAGGCACTTAGCACCAGCATGATAACCTGAGTTGATCCCCAAGACGCACATGGTAGAAACAGAACAAACTCCTGCAAGTTGTCCTTATTTACAAAATAAGTAAAGAAAAGAGCAAACTAGTGAAAACAGACCCAAAACAGGCACCAGAAAAAAACTTAAACACAAGATCAATAAAAGGCAAAATCTTCTGCCTTGAAAGGACTAAAAGCTGGGGCTGGAGATATGGCTCAGTGATTAAGAGCATTGGTTGCTCTTGCAGAGGACCCTGGTTCAGTTCCTAGCACCCACATGGTGGCCAACAACTATCTGTAACTCCAGTTTCACGGGATTTGACTCTTCTGAACTTCGAGGACATTGCATGCATGACATGGTGCACTTACACACATGCAGGCAATACATTCTACATATAAAAATATTTTTAAAAGACTATAAAGTAGATGAAAATGGTAAATACAACTTTTCAGGGAGAGAACAGAAATGTAACATCAGATTTGTGTGAGATACCCTTTTTTCCTTGCAAAATAGTCATACTAGGGGCTGGATAGCTCAGCAGTTAAGAGTACTGACTACTCTTGCAGAGAACCTGAGTTTGATTCCCAGCAGCTAACAACTATCTTCAACTCCAGTTCTAGAGGATCTGACACCTTCTGACCTCTGCAGGCATTGAACAACATGGGTGCAATTACAAACATCTACGCAGCACACTCATACATATTAAAAATAATCCTAGCACTCGAGAGGCAGAGGCAGGCAGATCTCTTGAGAGTTTGAGGCTAGCCTGGACTATATAGCAAGTTCTAGGTCAGCTGGGGCTACAGGGAGACCCTGTCTCAATAAGACCAAAAAATATTTAAAAAATAAGCCAGGCATGGTGGCACATGCCTTTAATCCCAGCACTCAGGAGGCAAAGGCAGGCAGATCTCTGAGTTCAAAGCCAGCCTGGTCTACATAGTGAGTTCCAGGCCAGCTGGGGCTACAGGGAGACCCTGTCATCTCAAAAAGCTGAAAAAATAATCATCACTATTGTTAAACATCAGACTAATAATTTTTGCTTTCTTACCAATAAAAGGAACATCACAAAATGAAATGTTTTTTTTCTTTTGAGATGGTCTCCCTGTAGCCCCAACTGGCCTGGAACTCACTATATTGACCAGGCTGACTTAAAACTTAGATCTGCCTGCCTTTGACTCTGCCTCCATCTTCTGAGTGCTGGGATTAAAGGTGTGGCACCACCACACCCACCTGAGGTACTCCTTGCAGTCATTCCAGGGACACAGTGTTGCCATTACTGCCAGCAGTTTTTTGGGGAAAGGAGCTTGCAATTTTATTACTTTCGTTTTTAGATAGGATCTATCTATATATATATATACCCCTGGTTGGCCTGGAACTCCCAGATATCCGGCAGCCTCATCTCACACTTTATACTCTGAGCAATTTCCTCAACGTAGAATTTAAATCTCCCAGCACCCAAGTTTAAAAAAAAAACAAAACAGCAGCAGTGCACACCTACAATCCTAGGGGGCATACATAGGAGGTGTGGATCCTCTTTTTCTTCTGAGGGCTTGCCCAGCCTGCCAGCCCAGCCTAATCATCAAGCTCCAAGTTCAGCTAGAGACCCTTTTAAAAAATATTTTTTTAATCCTACATTATAGAAAGTGTTACCATTGTGCGTAGAGTGATGAAAAACCTTTGTAATCATATGAAATCAGCATAGCACAGATGCCAAGCTGAACCCAGAAGCAGCATCAAAATAGTTCCCTATGACTTCTAAATAGAGGTGAAGATTAGATGTAACAGTTTACCCTTAAACATGATAGCAGACCACAGAAAAACTCAACCTGAAATCACTTACAGTATGATTAAGGGGAGAAAGCCATCCATATATACCCAAAATGTGTTAAAAGTATAGCACCCGGAGCTGGAGAGATGGCTCAGCGGTTAAGAGCACTGACTGCTCTTGCAGGGAACCCAGGTTTGATTCCCAGCACCCACATGGCGGCTACAAACTGTCCTTAATTCCACTTCCAGGGGAATCTGAAGCCCTCTTCTCACCTCCATGGCATTGTACAACAGAGGTGCACTTACATGCAGGTAATACACTCATACACATAAAAATTAAAAACAGGGTGGTGGTACATTTAAGGCTGATGCAGGAAGATCGAGAATTCAAGGCCAGCCTAGGCTGCATAGGAAGGCCTGTTTTTTTAAAAGCTCATAGGTAAGAGAGAAGACGGGTCAGGGAAAGTAACCTGAGGGGGCCTATAACAGCAGCAGCCTCAGACTATCATGTGTACAGGTCTTCTCTGCCCTAACTATGTTGCTCAGTGCAGTTGTTCCATGTTTTTGACAGGAGCAGATCAGGCCTCTATAACTGCCAGGAATCACATCCAGTTGGTGAAATCTCAGATACAGGAGGTACGCCAGCTCTCCCAGAAAGCAGAAACCAAACTGGCTGAAACACAGACACAAGAGCTGCACCAGAAAACACAGGAGGCTGGGGATGAGAGGGCAGACCAGGAACAGGAGGCCTACCTGCGTGAAGATTGAGGGCCTGAGCCCACTGCTCTGTCTGCCGACTCAGTGGGGGAACAGGTGGACGGCATCCACCTAGTGTCTCAACTCTGCAGGCGCAGGAAGTCGTGTCTGTGAGTCAGGCCAGAAGCCTTTTGTGCTGTGAGTGCCTGACCACTTCCTCTCAGATCTTAACCTTTACTGGTTCTTAGTCCTTGGGCGTCGTACCCTATTTAACATTGTACCCCCTCAGCACAGCTCCTCTTTTTACCTCACACCCACCCTGGCCAGCGAAGGGGGGGGGCTTTTTCTGTCACATCTTAAGTTCAATAGCTGTTTAGCTTTAGTTTTTAATCTTATTCAGACTTTTAAGTATGATTTAGTATTTGCTCCCTCCACAAGAAAAGAGGGAGTCTGTCTTTTTAAAGTGTTTGCAATACCTTTTCTCCCTGTGAACACAGCTCATGCCAAGGAAAGGAGTCAAGTTATTTAGGGATAAATGTAGTATCCACCTGGTGCTCCCCAAGAGAACTGACTCTAACACATGCTTCTTGTTTCAGTCCTTTCCTTTGAGTTTCTTTACTGTATCCAAAGGAAGAGAGGTTTGATGTTGGCATTTTTTAAAAAAGTTAAATTCTGAGGCTCTCATGTAGCATCTTTCCTTCACTGCCTAGGTGGTCAGAGCCATAAGGGACCCTGTGGTTTCCCCCATAGATTTCCGGCAGCAGATGCTCCCATTCAGCACATGTTGGACAAGTTTGCCAGGTTTCAGCATTTTCAATCAGAGTGAACAAAGTGGAAGATATTATAAAAATAAAGAGCATTTCCTGCAGACCAGCAAGGATGGATTTTTCAATGGTCTCAGTTTCTCCTGGTAACAGGAAATCAACACTCATTCCACTTTAGGGCTATTACTCAACCCATCCCTCAGAACTAGGGCTTGGGAGCAGCTTCACACTTGAGCCCCATCATGTGTCATCAGTGCCCACATGGTCCACATCTCCAGAGGGCTGAAGTGGTGCACCAGCAGGAGCCCTCTGTACAGACAAGGGTCCCAAGGGTTCAGGAGCTGTTAGATTCCAAATGTCTTGAAGCCAGCATGGTGAGTGGGGCTCACCCCCAGCTTCCTCAGGCACATTCCCACAAAGACATCAATGGGGATGAGTTCTGTCTCCTCCATGGTGGTGTGAAGATGCCTCATTGTGGCCTGGGACATAACATAGCCTCCACCTCCAGCATAAGGTGGATAGTGGCAGGCCCTGTACATAGAGAATGGGATGAAGTATTTGACTTTGGTATTCCTGTTGGGCAGGGCCTGGTGGATAACATCTCCTAAAAGGTCCTGGGCTGAGTTCCAGCTGTCCAAGAACTCCAGCATGTTGAGGACATGGACAAAGACATCTTCATCTCCCCTCCCTTTAGTATGAAGTGGGCCTGTGTGCAGGCAGCTGCCACCCAGCGCTGCAGGTGCAGCACCTTTAGAGTCAAGTCCCACTGTAGGATGTCATCAAACTGCCAACTCTCATAGGCCAGCAGCTGGGATGGGGGTACAAGTCCTGCTACTCCAAGGAGGAACACCAGTTTCGGCTCCCAGCCTGGCCCCACAATGCTGCAAATGGCTATACACTGCTCAACATGACCAGGCTGTAACTTGAAGGCCAGGAGCAGGAAAGTGTCCTTGGCACACCAGGAAGGCTGCAAGGTGGAGAAGTTTTGGCAGTGGTGATAGGTTAAGAAGAGGTGATGACAGCTGGGCAGGGACCAGGGAGGTATTAGCAAATGTGTGGTTGGGTGAACACTGGCTGTGCTGGGGCCTTGGTAGAGCTGGGAAGTGCTGGGGAGCCTTGGAGCTCTCTGTTGGTGTACGCTCCTTCAGAAAGAGCGGGCAACTGAGCAGCAGCCAGCCCAGCCTGTGCAACATGGTTGAGGCCCTGTGGGGAGAGAGCACCTAAGCTAGGCTCACCCCAGTCTCTATTTCAGGAGCAGCACAAATTACCTGCAACCCCTCAGCTAAATCCTCTTGAACTTCTGTGGGGGTGGGGGGATTTGTTTTTCAAGATGGTCTCATTTTGTAGCCCAGGCTGGCCTTGAACTGGTGGCAAGTCTCCTGCCTCAGTCTTCAAGTGCTGTACAGGCATAAGCTACCATGCTGGTTGGGACTTATTTTTACTTCTCTGTGTGTCCTCTGGCAGTTTCCAGAGCCCATCCCCTGAGGACAGACAGGAACACCTGCCCTGCCAGCCCTCACCACTCCTTCGTTGTAACTGTCTTAAAGCTGAGACACAATGAACAGTCTCAAGGAGTGAAATTGGCCAGACTTAGTCTGGCTTTGTACTACATTCATTCTAAACATCAAATCTGACATGCAGAGTTCTTCAAATCTAAAACCAATGCACAAAAGCTGGAGTTAGCTTGGTCTCAGGCAGGCTCTGTATTGAGTTTCCTGATGCCAGAGCCCTATCACCAACGCCTGGCTCTGGCAGAACAGCTTTACTCTCCCCGACTCTAGTCAATCAAGCTGCGGAGGGCCTCCCCTGTTGTGCGGTACTGGTGTAGCTGGATCTGGACCTCCACGGTCAGGGGCTCCAGCTGGTACACGCTTTCCAAAGCAGGAGCCACCGACTTACACTTATCTGAGAAAATAAAAATAGGAGCCCCTGAGTCTCGAGAGAGACATGGACTGCTGTGCTCCTTCCACATCTCCAAACTCAAACCTAGTCCTCCATCCCAGGGGAGCTTGGCTTCAGAATGAGATTCAGTCTTGAGGGGTTTTTTTGTTCGTTTGTGTTTTTTGTTTGTTTGTTTTTTGGGTTTTTTTTTGGTCTTTTTGAGACAGGGTTTCCCAGTAGCCCCAGCTGGCCTGGAACTCACTATGTAGACCAGGCTGGCCTCGAACTCAGAGATCCACCTGCCTCTGCCTCCTGAGTGCTGGGATTAATGGTGTATCATGCTCAGCTCAACCTTGAGGTTTTAACCATAATAGAGAGGACATTAAATTGCTAACTAGATTGTTTAATAAGCCTCCACTGTTTGAGTTACAAGATAAATTAGCTGGGTTTTGCTGTCAAACCTGACGACCTGAGTTGGATACCCTGTCTCTGACATGCACATGCACAAAATAAGTGTAACAAAGAAAAGAGAAAAATTAAAAGACACTGAGAATGAAGCTCAATTTGTAGAGAACTTGCCTAGTATGCATGAGGACTTGGGTTCATCCCCAGCACTACATCAAAACGAGCAATCCCACCCTTGGGGAGTGAAGGTAGGAAGATAAGTTTAAGGGAGCTGCAAGACTTCCAGCTTGCCTGCCCTTTTGTTTTTCTCTTAAACTGTAATAAAATTATCCTTAAACTTCAGAGAGAGGGAGACTCACTTTAGCCCAAGCTTCTTCCTTCTTTTTTTTTTTTTTAAACAGGGTCTCTCTATGCAGTTCAGGCTTGCCTGAAAATGAACTGGTCATCCTGCTGGGATTATAGGCATGGCCAGCCTAACCATGTCTCTGACCGTTTTAGGGAGTTTCCTTTTGGTCTTGAGACAAAGTCTGTAGCCCCAACTGTAGTATGTAGGCCAAGCTGGCCTTGGAACTCAGAGAGATCTGCCTGCTCTGCCTCCGAGTACTGGGATCAAAGGCATGTGCCACCACACCCAATCATGATTGATAATTTAAAAAAAATTTTTATTGAGTTTTTGTGCATTTCATATAATAGATCTTAATCAAAAGAGATTGTGAATTTTACCCTAAGTGCTAGTGTGTCTGTGACTTTCTTTTCTTGATCAAAATTGTTCCAGGGTGCTGTGCTCACCGCTTTTTCCTTCTCAATATAAACTGTTTTCCTAACTTGAACACCACTTATAGCTGATCATCAGTTTGTTGATGGTCTAGATGTGGCTACTACACTGGGTGCTGGGAACTGAGTGACTTTAATGCAAGCATAGCTTTGGTCTTCCCATATTTAGCATTTAGTAGGCAGGAATTAAACAGTCATAGAGACCAACATTTATAGCATGGTGAAAGGCGCCGTGGAGGACAACAGGAGTGTAGAGAAGTTAGCAACTGCTAAGCCGTTAGTCTCTCCATTTCCCACTCCCAGCCCCAGTGACAATGAATCCATTTTAATCTCTATAGACTTGCCTGTTTGGAGATTTCAGCAAATGGAATTGTATAACTCATAACCTTTGTGTCTGGCTTCTTTGACTGAGCATCATATTTTCTACATTTGTCCACAGTGGCCTCCACCAGTGCTTCATTCCATTTTATGGTTGACTAACATTCCACTGTATGGATAAACCACATCTTTCCCTCATTCATCAGTGGATAAACATTTGGGTGGTTTCCTCTTTGAGGCTATAATAAATAACTCTGCTGTGATCTTGTCTTACACTTCTGCAAAAACCTCACAGCTAATTTCTGGTCTCCAAACTCTACATCTAAATAATGTTTTTTTTGGTCTTTTTGAGACCAAACAGGGTCTCCCTGTAGGCCCCAGCTGGCCTGGAACTCACAGAGATCCACCTGCCTCTGCCTGGGATTAAATCCGTGTGTGCCACCATGCCTGGCTCCATCTAAATAATTTTTAAAACTCAAATCTACAGCCGGGTGTGGTGGCACATGCCTTTAATCCCAGCACTTGGGCGGCAGAGGCAGGCGGATTTGAGACCCTGCCTTAAAAGACAAAAGAAAAAAGAAAAAAAAAAAAAACCTCAAATTTACACACAGGAAGCAGAGATAGAAGGATCATGAATTCCAGGCCAGCCTGATTCATACTGGAAGACAAAGAAAGAAGGGAAGGAAAGAAAGGAGGGAGGGAGAAAAGGAAGGGAGGAAAGGAAAGGAGAGGGGGAAGGAAGGAAAGAAGGAAGGAGGGAGGGAGAGAGGGAAAGAGGGAAGGCAGAAAGCTCAAATCTAAAACGTACATAGTTCAGAAACTCAAGATGCTTGCAGAAGTCCAAGCTCCTTGTCTGTTAAATTAGGACTGGAGCCTAGACTCTGCATACCCCGGTTCTGAGACCCTAACCTCCACCCCAAAGCCTTACCCACCACTTTATGCCCCCTAGAGGGCAGCTGTACTTTGGGGGCTCTGGGGAAGGTGCTGAGATTCTGTGCTGTCTGAAGGTCCTGGTTTTTGGTCTTCACAGTCCTGGGGCTCCCTACTACCCCCTCAGCAGGGTCTCAGTCACCCAGTGCTCTCAGGGACCACTAGTAGTCTTACCTTTTTTGATAGCTTTCTTTGTCTTCTTTGAATCCTGAGAGAAAGAACCACAAAGTCAGGTACTTAGTGGGGCAGCTGCCGACCCTCAGGCTGACTCTGAGGGACACCCACCCTTCCCTGGGCCTTGGACTGAGCCAGAAGGGCTGGGGGACTGAAGAAGAGGGCAGCTGACCTGGGCCACACCTGAGGTGTGACCACGAGGTGCCCAGCAGCCCTGCCATACAAGACCAATCCATAGTTGCTGCCACTCTCACCCCCACCCCATCCCTGCCCTGCCCACTGAGCTCTCTATGAAGGAGCCAAGGTGGAGACAGGAATGGTCAGGGCCCCATAGTACCCTGGTGTGTATCAACTTGTCGGTTTCCAGGGTATGGACCACCTCAAAGTTTCAAACAGTGGACACTACAGGTTCCCCTGCCAGCAAGGGTTCCAGGTATACCAGGCCACTGCCCAGCACGTGCAGCTCAGGGGGCTCCAGACGAAGCTCCTTGGGTAGCTCCTTCTTCTTGAGCCCCTTTTATGGGCCCAGAGAGTGGCAGTGAGAGACTGGGGCCACACTCCCATCCCTGCCATGCCCATGCACAGTCCACTATGTTGGTACCTGGGGGGGTTCCTCCACTTCCCCTTTCTTCTCTTTCTTGTCTTTGTCCCCCTTTCCTTTCTTGGCAGGCTGTGGAATCTCTACAGGAGGTGGCACCACAGGCCAGCCCAGGATTTAGAAGACAAGCCCCAGCCCCAAGTCTGCAGAAGCCACTGCTGCTGGGGCCACCTCCCCCTTGGGCTCTCTGGAATGACCCTGAGAGGTAGCTAAGGAGGGAGGGGGCATGTTGACAGCATGATGGAAGCCTGCACAATGGGAGGGAGGGGACACAGCATCCCAGCCAGTGGGGGGCCAGGGCCCTGTGCTTTGCCCACCTTCTCCTCCACAATGGTCACAGTGGTCCCCGCCTTCAGGAAGGCCTTGACAGGCACCAGGTCCTTGAGGGTATGCTTCATTTTATAGCTGCAGGGAATGATGTCTGCCCAGGGCTTCGGGACTGTGCTGAACAGGACTGTCCTTGGGTGAGGCGCACATGGGGCCATCACCAGAGGCTGTGGCTGGGGGCCTGGGACAGGGTTGCAAGGGGACTCCCAGGAAGACTGCAAGCACACACAGACACTGTAAAGGTGAGGAAAGAACCGACCTCACAGTTGTTCTCTGGCCTTCATGCATGTGCACACATGTGATAATAAATTAAAATTTAACATTTTAAAATTTATTTTTAGTTTATGTATATGGGTGTTTTGTCTGCATCTGTGTAAGTATACCACCTGCATGCAATGCTCACAGAGGCCAGAAGAGGGGCCTAGATTCCATCCCCAGGACTGCAAACAAAACAAGATGGATGGTTGTTAGCCACCATGTAGGTGCTAGGAATTGAACCGGAGTCTTCTGCAAGAGCTGAAAGTGCTCTTAACTTCTGAGCCATCTCTCTAGTCCAGTAAATTAAGTTTTAAAGAGAATGGTAACAATACAGTAAAAACAGAAGCACATCCACTAATAATTTTTAAAGGGTTTGAAATGACTCAAAATATGTTCTTTGACCACAAGGAAATTAACATTATTCAACAACAGGAGTAATTTAGAAAGTTCAAGAGTATATGGAGATTAAAAAATACACTCCTACATATTTAATAGGTCAAAGAAGAAATTAATCAGAAAACAATATTATGAAGAGGTTCATTCTCCTTGACTGGATCTGTACATTCAAATCAATCTCAATCAGAATCAAGGCAGGCTATTTTAGAAACTGACTGGCTGGTTCAAAAACATATGTGAAACACAGAACCCAGGTGATCTGGGGCTAGAGAGATGGTTCAGCATTAAGAGTATTACTCTTCCAGAAGGACTGAAGTTTGGTTCCCAGCACCCATGTTGGGCAGCTCATAGCTGCCTGTAACTCCAGCTCCAGGGGATCTGAAGACTGACCTCCATCAGCACCTGCACTCAAATGTACATACCCCCACACAAACACACACACACACACACACACACACACACGCAATTAAAAATAAGTTTTTAGCCGGGTGTGGTGGTGCACGCCTTTAATCCCAGCACTTGTGAGGTAGAGGCAGGTAGATCTCTGTGAGTTCAAGGCCAGCCTGGTCTACATAGTGAGTTCCAGGACAGCTAGGGCTACAGGAAGACCCTGTCTCAAAAAAGACCAAAAAAAAAAAATTTTTTTTAAAAACAAACCCAGGAAAACCATCAATCAAACCCAAGTTGGGGGCCAGTCTACAAAGTACCCAGCACAACTTTCCACAGGTGTCAACGTCGTGAATGACAAGGAAAAACCTAGAAACAGCCAGATTCCTAGAGGCGAAGGAAACATGATGGCTAAATGCAATTTGACATCCTGCACTAGATCTGAGAACAGAAAAGTGACTTCCTTGGACAAGCTGAAGAATTCCATTGAGATTCTTTTTGAAGGGTTTGTGTACTAGAACCAAGGGCCTCAGTTAAGGTTTTAAACTAACTCCTTGAGGGGCTAGAGAGATGGCTCAGTAGTTAAGAACTCATACTGCTCTTGCAGAGGACCCGAGTCCATTTCCCAGTACTTACATTAATAGCTCACAGCCATATATAAGTTCAGCTCCAGGGGTATCTGGTGCCTTCTTCTGGCCTCCAAGGGTAACTGCACTCACATGTGCACACCCACACACAGACAAATACACATAATTAAAAACAAAAAATCTTAAACACCTTGGGGTGCAGTTCAGTGGTAGAGAGAGATTTGCAGGCATCAGGCCTTAGTTCCAACCCCAGCACCAAAACAAATAAACCAAATAATTCTTGCAGCCCATGTTAAAAGAAACTAACATCCCAAGCCCCAACAGGGCATTACAGCAAAGCCTATGAGGGGTTAAAGCTCCATGAACTTGGACTCAGTCACATTAGAACCTTTAACTATCCAAATTATTCCCTGAACGCATAAAAACCAGTAGCAGGAATTTGTAATCAACCAATAACTCAAACAATCCACAGAAAGCTCAGTGTGTGTGTGTGTGTGTGTGTGTGTGTGTGTGTGTGTGTGTGTGTGTGTGTGACAACTGTGTTACCTTCCACCTTGGTTTTTTAAAAATTTATTTTTATTTTTTGTGTGTGAGTGTATTGCCTGCATGTATTAAGTGCACTCACATTGTGCAATGCCCATGGAGGTCAGAAGAGGGCATCAGATCCCCTGGAACTGGAGTTTACAGACAGTTGTTAGCCATCATGTGGGTGTTGGGAACCAAACCTGGGTACTCAAAAAGAGCAGCCAGTACCCTTAACCACTGAGCCATCTCTCTCCAGCCCCACCTTGTTTTAAGACAGGATCCCTTTGTTGTTCAGCACTGAGTATGCCTGTCCCACAAGTTCCCAGGGATTCTGTCTCTGCTTCCCATCTTGCTGTAGGAACACTGGGATTGCAGGCATGCACTGCCATACCCAGCTTTACATGGGTTCTGGGCATTCAAACTTGGGTCCTCACACTTGCAGGGCAAACACTTTATCCATTGGACTATTTCCCCAGCCCAAGCTCAGTGTTTGGAGGTCATTAAAAATTGTTCACAGAGCTCTAATACTATGAGAGGGCTGACTCAGAATTCTTTTTTGTGTGTGTGTGTATGAGTGTATTGCCTTCATGTATGTAAGTGCACCTATGTCGTGCAATGCCCATGGAGGCCAAAAAAAGAGTGTCAGATACCCTGAACTGGAATTATGGATGGTTGTTAACCACCATGTGGGTGCTGGGAACTGAACCCAGGTCCTCTGCAAGGGCAGCCAGTGGTCTTAACCACTGAGCCCTTTCCAGCCCCTGACTCTGAATTCTTATAAAATCCTCTATTATCAAAACAGAAATAAATGAAATGGAATGTATGAAGTGCACAAGACCCTTATAAGGAGTGGACAAATTGGTTTACTAGGCAAGAAAATCCTGGTAAGCTGGGCCTGGTGGTACAGGCCTGGAATCCTAGCTATTCAGGAGGCTGAGGCAGGAGGATCACAAGTTCAAGGGACTGGGAAGCTGAAAGGGTTCTAATCCCAGTGGCTGGAATATAAGATGACAGGTGTCCTGTTGACTGGGGAGAGTCAACCTTTCAGGGAACTTTGCCTCCCATCCCCAGGCACCTGGGGCTCAGTTGCAGTGGAGGGTTAGGTCTCCAGTAAAGAAAGGTCCCACCCTAATCCCAAGTCCACCTGTAGTTCACACCTATGGGGCCAGCTAATGAAAGAGCATGGCCTTGGTTACTTCTGGGTGGCTTAGGCATCAGGACACATAAGGGAAGCAGCAAGTATGACCTGGCCTTGCAGCAACCCTGCGGACCCCAGAACCTGCTCCCAGCCATCTCCTGCCCTTACCCTGGGGATGGGCAGAGCCGGGGATCTATACGTGGCTGCAGCTTTGATAGCTCTTCTGAAGAGGTGGTGCACTGTGGCAGTGGGGCAGAGTGGATGGAGATAGTTGACTGTGACTCTTCCAGATAGGTTATGCCAGTCTCTAGGGACTCATTGGCCATCTTGTCCATCTCAGCTATAAACGCAGACACCTTCCTGGAGACATCCCCAGAAAACGCCTGCTGATACCCCCGGTGGCCCTTCTGGCGGCCCTCCTAGTTGGCCTCCTGGTCGGCCTCCTGGCCCTCCTCCTGGCTGGGCTCCCCTTGAACCTCTTCACTTAACAGTTCTGGGCTGGAGGAGGGCTTGACAATCTGCCAGCAAAGACAGAGCACACTTAGCTGCTGTCCCCAGAAAGATCCCTCCTGGTGTCTGCTGACACAGGCAAGGGTCTGGATACATTTACTTCATTGTGGTGCTGGAGAAGGAACTCAGAGCTTCATTCATGGTAGGCAAGTGCTGTACCTCTGAGCCATACCACAGCACTACATGAACTTAAACCATTACCAGACACACAAACTTAAGAGACATGAGGTAGAAACGTGTTTCTTCTGAGAATGAAGACAACACATTTCTCCTAGCTGCGTAGTTTCTTTGGGTTTACTTGAGATGCAGACAGACATCCTGGAGACATCATGAAAATTGTAGGGTGGGACCAGAGACAACTGGTCTGAGTATAAAATTCTGGGCCACTCCCTTGTTAGGCTCAGATGTCACAAGGACACAAGGTGAGCACATCTGAGACTCACCTTGAGTGAGCAAGAGGGATGATGGGTTGAAGCCAGGTCCCTCCATGGAGGAGGGGTGTCAATCTGTGCTAAAGATTCTCCTTGGCCCCAAGAAGCTGTTCTACGTGCACAGGAAAGCCCACAGGTCTGCGGAGAGCCCACCTTGCTCCCAGGGTCAGCGGGGACGCACCTCGGCCAGCACACTGTCTGGATGCACCTCAGCCAGCATATTGGCAAGTGTGTTTCCTTCACCATCCTCATCTTCCACAAAGTCATAGGTTACATAATAACTGTAGGTGATGAAAGGGCCTTCGGGGCCTGGCTCCGGATCTAAGACAGAGCTGTCCACAATTCCCTTAACATTTCCAATGGTCACCACAAACTGTGCCTCATGTGCCAACAGGTCTTCAAGGAGTAACAAAAGAACTGAAGGACTGGGGGCTGGAAATTGACAGACGGCTGACAAAGTAGGGAAGATGTAGGTCACCAGACCCTGCCCTCCTTTCTGGGGTTAGAGCCCCAGCTCTGCCAAGATCAATGGGAGTGACTGTGGCTATGTCATCACAAGCTCTGAAGCTGTATTTTCCTGATTTTCCAAATGGGCGTGTGAGAGGGCTTCACAGAGCGAGTTCTGAGAGGGTGAGCAATGGGGAACATTCTATGCCGGAGCCCATGGCTGCTTCTACCAGTATCATAGGGCTCTGACCTTGGAAAGGCTCTGATGCACCTTACATCATGAACCACAAGGGGGTGATCTCAAGCCACCATGGAAGTGAGGACCAGAAAGAACAGAGGTGGCCCCAAGTCCAACCACAGGGGTCCAACGTGTGGAGAGGACCCTAACATAGATAGCTCACTGTACCTGACTAGGATTCAAAGCCAAATGGGAAGCTGCTAGGTAGATGGCAGGACGAACTCAGTAGGATAGGGGTGGGCAAGGCAGGCGGTGGAGCGGCTGCACCTACCACCTTGTATGCCTAGCCCTCAGAACTGGTGCTTCTCGTTGGGAGACACAGTGATGTCGTCAAGTACACAGAGCCGAGCCAGGCTGTCCACAGTGAAGCCTCGGTAGTACGGCACCAGTGCCAGTGGGTTTCCCTGCAGCACAAGCAGCCTCAGGTGCTTCAGGGTGCTGAGACCAGCCATCATGCTCTGTAGGTCTGTCAAGTCATTGAAGCCCAAGTCCAGGGAGATAAGGTTGGGGCTGGAAGGTGGGCCAGGATACCTGGATTAGGAAGCTTGGTGAACAGGGGACAGAGCACTTTCGGCCATACATTTTGTTCTGTCCTAGACCCTGATTAATCCTGGAGCCTCCTTCCCACTCTCCAGAACATGACTCGTCCTATGAGACAGCTTCTCACAGCCTTCTCTCACCTCACTCCCATCCGTACCTCCTCTGTCAAATATCAGCCTACTGTTATACCTCTAGAAGGTTATTTACAAATCCCCACTGATGGACTGGAAGCCACTGCAGGAGGGTGGGTGCAGGAGTGGAGAGAGAAGTGGGTGAGTGCAGGGAATGGTAGGAGAGTCCATCAAACGGTGGCATCCAGAGGCATCAACCTGGAAGTCCCTATTCAAAGCCATACATGGCTACAGAGCTGGTTGGCTCATTTTCTGGGGAGTACCAGCAAAGGAGGCAGCCAAGAATTGTGGCACACACCTTTAATTCCAGCACTCAGGAGGCAGATGCAGGCAGTTCTCTGTGAGTTTGAGGCCAGCCTGGTCTACATAGTGAGTTTTAGGTCAGTCAGGGCTACATAGTGAGACCCTGTCTTAAAAAAAAAAAAGCAAAGGAAGTGCTTCCCAATCCGGGCTGACAGGCAAAGCGGAAACCCAGGCCTCTGGTGAAGATCCACACAGGAGCAGGCAGGGGGTTTACTGCCTGCCACAAGCTACAGAGCAACACCAGGGAACCACCCTAACTCTTTTCCCATAGGCTGAACTCAGCTCTTTGCCTGCCCCCATCCTCTCACAGCCTGTCCTGGCCAGTCACTGGACAGCAAGGAAAATATTGCAAGTAGGTCAAGCACAGCCTTGATCCAGTGTCGGCCCTTCTCAGGAGAACTGGGGAGACCTGATTCATAAGAAGTGTTCTCCCTTTAATTCCCAAACAGTGCAAGACAAAGGTTTCACATACAATGGCTATGAAATCCAGAGCTGTCATTAAGCCCAAGGTTGTAGTAAGTATGCTTTCCAAATTAAAAGCCAGGTATTTGGTATTTATTAATGGCGCATGAGCCTAAACTGGATGTCCTGGGAAGTCCAAGTGCCTGGCTCCTGTCTGTGTTATGTTTGCTGATGGCCATGGATGATGGAAGGGAGGACTCCCAAGTCAGACTAAAGCTGAACAGATTGGGTAAGAGTGGAGAAGGGGGAGGAAGAAAGAGGCACAGTTGGAGAGGGCCATCCCCCACACCTTCCCCCTTCAAAGGGGAATGATTGGACCCTCAAAAGAGCACCCTTGGACCCTGAAGAGGGTGTTGAGGTTGACTTTGGACCTTTCCCAGGCTATGAAGAAAGAAGCAAGCCAGATGTGGTGGTGCACACTTGCAATTCTAGTATTTGGGGTGGAAGTAGGGGAATCAGGAGTTCTAAGGTGATTTCAGCTACATATGTCAAGTTTGAGGCCAGCCTGGTCTACACAGTGAGTTCCTGGCCAGCTAGGGCTACAGGGAGACCCTGTTTCAAAAAATACAAAAAAATACATTAAAAAGAAAAAGAAGAGGGGCTGGAGAGATGGCTCAGTGGTTAAGAACACTGGTTGTTCTTGCAGAAGACCCGAGTTCGAATCCCAGAACCCACATGGCAGCTAACAACTGTCCATAACTCCAGTCCCAGGGATTCCAATAGCCTCTTCTGACCTCCGCAGGTATTGCATGACATGGATGCACTTACCTACATGCAGGCAATACATGCGTACACATAAAATAAAAATAATAAAATCTTTAAAAAAAGAAAGAGAAAGGAGAGGGAAGAAGCACTAGACAATCACAGCCCTGGAAACCACCAGGTGTTAAAGTGCTGGGCTTCTCACAGCCCTGCTCCAGCTCCCTGTTATGGCCTTTAGAAGTGGCCTTTGACCCTTCTTAGTTTTCAGATCCAGGATCCCAAGTTTTCCACTACTCACCCACAAAGGAGACAAAGTCAGACATCAGCATCTGGAGGGAACTGTCCTATACAGCCTCTGAGGAATGTTCAGCAACAATGGAGCACCCCAAGATTTGTCTCTAGGGAAGTGGTTCTCAGCCTGGGATGATTTTGCCCCTCAGGAAACCTTAAACTCTGGAGACATTGTTCCTTGTCATGAGGAAGGGTGGGGAGGAGTAAGGGGGCTACCAGCATCTAGCAGGTGGAGGCCAAGTTTGCTGCTAAAGGTCCCACAATGCACAGGATAGCCCTACAACAAAGAGTGATTGACTGAAATGTCAGAATCATGCTGAGAACCCCTGTCATGAAGGATGGATACTACTCACTCGCACCAGCCCCTGGCATCCTTGTCCTTGCCTGAGTGAGAATAAAATCCTAGTCTGGGGTTTAGCAGCCACGTGAAGGTTATTGACCAAGCAAACCCCAGTCCTCCAAACTTGAATTTCCCACACCTGTCTTTTTTTTTTTTTTTTTTTTTTTTTCTTCTTTCTCTCTCCCAGCTGTCCTGGAATTCTCTCTGTAGACCAAGCTGGCCTTGAACTCACAGAAATCCACCTGCCTCAGCCTCCTAAGTGCTGGGATTAAAGGTGTGCCACACCATGCCGGGTCCACACCTGTCATTTAATCCCTCTCCCTCCTTTCATCCAGGCTCCCAAGTTACCAGTGGTTGGAGGTGATATACAGGCTCTCCAAGGGGCCCAGGAGTTTATTGTGGCCTAGTCCCAAGTGCTGCAGGTTTAGGGGTGGGGATGTACACAGACATTCCATGCTGCTGATGAGGTTGCCATAGAGCTCCAGCACCTGAGAAGGGACAGGGTTGGTGGTGACTGGAGGGCTTCAGTGTATTCCGCTCTATGAGTATTCTGCTCCTGCCCTGGGAAACTCAGAAAGGGAGTTATGAGTTGCCTGTTACTGCCTTCCTATGCCAACTTGTTTTTAAAAACACAGAAAAAGGCTATGGATATAGTTGTGTACAGAGCTTCCTAGTATGCACAAGGCCCTGGGTTCCATCCCAAGCATTGCATAAAATCCAGCATGGTGGCACACTTCTGTAATTTGAGACATTTGCGAGGTGGAGGCAGGAGGATCAGGACTTAAGGTCAACCTTGGCCATATAGCAAATTTGAGGCCAGCTTGGACACATGAGACCCACATGACTTGCTGCATAACTCTGACAAACTGAGTTTGATTCCTGGGTCCTATGATGGAAGAAGAGAACGAACTCCTGAAAAGTTGTACTCTGACCTCCACGTGGACTCTATGGTACATGTGTACCCGTTTGCTCTTTTTCTCTCTTGCTCTCATACATACACACTCACACACACACACACACACACACACACACACACTTAAAATAAATTTTATGTAGGAAGAGTGTGCGTGGTGGCATGCACCTATATTCCTAGTACTTGGTAACCTGATAAAGAAGGATCTACAGTTCCAGATTAGTTTGGGCTACAGGGCAAGTTCCAGGTCAGCCTGGACTGTATAGCAACAGCTTGTCTCAAAAAAAAAAAAAAAAAAAAGGCCGGGCGTGGTGGCATACACCTTTAATCCCAGCACTCCAGAGGCAGAGGCAGGTGGATCTCTGTGAGTTCTAGGCCAGCCTAGACTCTGTCTCAAAAAAAATATTAAGTTAAAAAAGGCAGGATGAACATACTGCAGAAGGGGAAATTTCTTTGCCTTATATAAGGAAACATTACAGTTTGAGTGGGAAGTGGTAGGCAGTGGGTGGGAGGGCAGATGCATCTTCTCAACTCATAGGAGCACCATGGGCCAGGGACGGAGCACAGAATAAACCTCATTTAACAGCAGTCTCTCCTCACATGTACTTCTTGCCCAGGGTCTCAGAGCCTGCCACAGAGACTGGCCACCAAGCCAACTCTTCTTAGCATTCTTCCCTCAGGGCTATGTGATATGCTCAGCTAAGACTCATGATAAAGCCTGGCCTACCCTTTTCATCTCTTTTGTGTGCATATATGTATACTTTCAAGTGTGTGTGTTCATGTGTGTGCACACATGGGTATGTGCATGCATGTGGGGGCCAGAGGACAATTTTGGCTGTGGTTCCTCAGGAACTGTTCACCTTGTTTCTGAGACAGGGTCTTTCACTGACCTGGAACTCACCATGTAGGCTAGGCTACCCAGCCAGAATCCAAAGGATTAAGTGCACACTCTACCATACCTGTTTTTTTTTTTTTTTAACTTAAAAAAAAAAATTTTATGCCAGGCATGGTGGTGCACGCCTTTAATCCCAGCACTCCGGAGGCGGAGGCAGGCGGATCTCTGTGAGTTCAAGGCCAGCCTGGTCTACATAGTGAGCTCCAGGACAGCTGGGGCTACAGGGAGACCCTGCCTTAAAAAAAAAGACAAAAAATTTTTTATTTATTATTTTTATTTTATGTGTATGCATGTATTGCCTGCATGTGGGTAAGTGCATCCATGTCGTGCAATGCCAGAGGAGGTCAGAAGAGGCTGTCAGATCCCCTGGGACTGGAGTTACAGACGGTTGTTAGCTGCCATGTGGGTGCTGGGATTCGAACCCAGGTCTTCTGCAAGAACAACCAGTGATCTTAACTGCTGAGCCATCTCTCCAGCCCCACCTAGCTGTTTTGGTCTTTTTGAAGCAGGGTCTCCCTGTGACCCCAGCTGTCCTGGAACTCACTATGTAGACCAGGCTGGCCTTGAACTCACAGAGATCCACCTCCCTCTGCCTCCCAAGTGCTGGGACTACAGGTGTGCGCCACCACGCCCGGCCTACCTGGCTTTTTTAAAAAAAAACATTAAGTTCTAGAGATGTAACTTAGGTCTTCATGCTTGTGAGGCAAGCCCTTTACTGACTGAGCTATTTCTCTAGCACCGCATCTGTTTTTTAATAAGGTAAAATATATATCACATGAAGCTGGAGAGATAGCTCAGCAGTTAAGAGCATTTGCTGCTCTTGTAGAGGACCTCAGTTTGCTTCCCTCAATCACGTGTCAGTTAACAATCATTTGTGACTACCCATTCCAAGGGATCTGACTCCCTCTTCTGGCTGCCTCAAGCACCAGGCACATACATGATGCACATATATACACTCAGGCAAAACATTTATACATATAAAACAAAAATAGGTAAATCTTTAATATATATCACATAAATGTACCCTTTCTATTTAAGTACATAACTCAAGGACATTAATTACATTCATAATGCCAGCCACCATTATCACTGTTTCCAAAAGTTTTCATTACCTCAAACAGAAGCTCTGAAACTACTAACTCCTTATGGTCCTCTCCAGCCCCTGTGACCTCTACTGGCTTTTTGTGCCTATGGATTTTCCTCTTCTAGATATTTCATTAAGTGCAATTTTATATAAGATCTGTCTTCTTCTCTCTGGCTTCTTTCATCTAGCAGGATGTTTTCTAGGCAACTATCAGAATGCCCTTCCTTTTTATGGGTAATACTCCATTGCATGAACAGACCATATTTTGTTTATCTGTTCATCTGTCCCACTTTTTGAGTGTTATGAGTAGTGCTGCTGTGAACATCGATGAACAAGCACCTGCTTGAACCCTTCCTTCAGTTCTTGTGGGTATGTACCTAGGAAGGGAATTGCTAAATCCAAAGGAATTTCTATATATAACTTTTTTTTTCTTTTTGGTCTTTTTGAGACAGGGTCTTCCTGTGGCCCCAGATGGCCTGGAACTCACTATGTAGACCAGGCTGGCCTTGAATTCAGAGATCCACCTGCCTCTGCCTCCTGAGTGCTGGGATTAGAACCATCACTCCCAGCTCTATATATAACTTTTTGAGAGGACTGGAAAGATGGCTCAGTGGTTAAGAGCACTGGCTGCTCTTGCAGAGGACCCAGATTCAGCTCCCAGCACTCACATGATGGCTAACAACCATCCATAACTCCAGTTCCAGGGGATTAAACACCCTCTTCTGATCTCCGTGGAAGTTGCATGACATGCATGCATTTATATACATGCAAGCAATACACTCATTCACATAAAATAAAAATAACAAGTAAAATATTTTAAAAAATAAATAAAAGTTTTTGAGGAACATGGCCTATATTTTGAAAGCTTGGGCCTTTGCACATGGCTGCCTTAGCCAAAGCTGTGCAGGGCTGATTAGGAGCAGGGCCTCTGGGGGCACTGGCTCTAAGACCCCACATAGAACCTGTACCTTCAATGTTGGGGGTAGATTGGTGGCATCGATGTGCTCAATTTGATTGGCACTCAGGACCAACTCCTCAAGCTTTAGAAACTTCAGGAGATCTTTATCAACCAAGCTCACCTGGAAGGAAGGAAAAGGAAACTGAGGCTGTGAAGAGCGTGGAGCACTGGAGCAGACGCCACATGGGGGAGACAACAGCTATATCCCTTTTCTGTTGCTGTATAAGATATCATGACCAAAGCAACACATAAGAGTTTATTTGGGCTTAGAGTTACAGAGGAATAGATGCCCATAATGGTGGGAGTGTCTACCTGCAGGAGACTGAGAGATCACATCTCAAACACATACACAGGAAGCAGACAGAAGCAGGAAGTGGGTTGAGGCTATGAGCCCCCAAAGCTCACCCCTAGTGAAATATTTCCTCCCGTGAGGCTACACTTCCAAAAGGTTCCATAAACTCCCTCCAAATACCACCAATACCTGGGCCAAATGTTCAAATACATAAGTCTATGGGGAACATTTCTCACTCAAACCACAACAGCTCATCCATTCCAAGTTATCTCCCAGGCCCACCAACCTCCTGCCATTTTCCCCTGTAAGCATTTACCACACTGCATAAGTTTGTAAGGTTCAAGCCCTGCCCCTGCTGACAGCAAGTGTGTGATCTTCAGGCCAGTGTTTTATGTCCCTCCTATGTTGGATCATGGGATTCTTGAGAGAGTAAGAACCCCCTCTTCAGTCTACTACAGAGCTACAGTGAACCCTCGGGAACTACTGCTGTAGGGAGACTAGTTCTCTGAGTAACTCTATCACCCAGCAAGCTGCCATGTAGCTGTTCTAGATGCCAAAAGAAGCCATCCTTCTACGGTTAGGCAGTGTTTCTGGAGACCAGCAGAATTCCTGGAGCACACATTTGTACAGCCTTCTGTGGTTGGGTTTTGTCCACACTCTGTAGTCTGAGCATGTACTCTCCTCTACTACTTTAGCACAACGAAGTACTCAGAATTCAGGCTTGTATTGATTCCTCTGTGGACTCAGAGGCATATAAAACAGATCTTGGTAGATGGAAGGATGGGGGTGCAGGAGGTATGGATGGGGAGGGGAGCATTGGCATCTGCTGCTTCTGTAATAAACACATTTTACTCACAAAGGTAAACTTCAATGAATCAATCTTCGGGCTGTTGGCACCACCCTGTTTTTACATCTTCCCAGGGATATCATGTAACCATTGCCTTACTGGCCTTCCAGAATCACTCTGGGTCACACAGAGCAGGGCATTCCAGCAGTCTCAGCACCCTACCCATGAATTCCCAGTTTCCTGTGGCCTCAAGGGCATGGAGGGGGTGCTTCCTCCTCTCTTCCCTAGAGTGACCAGTTCTGCCAATTTGCCTAGGATGGAGGAGTGTCCCAGGACATGGGACTTTAGGAACCAACACTGTAAAAGTCTAAGGCCACCCTGCCCATCCCCCAGTACCATCATTTCCCAGTTCCTAAGAAGGAAGGAAAGGCTCAGGAAAGCTGACATTAGTTTTCCTGCAACTTTAATGTCATATAAGTGAGTTACACAAAGAAGGCTTAATAGCAGAATGCTGGCCAGCCCTCTCCAGGCCCTTTCCTCCCATTTTTAAACAAAGCAAAAAACTCTGGACCCTTTGAAAGGTCTTTATTAGGGACCAAGAGAGTCCACTGCAGGGTATGTAAGGAATTAGTCATAGAAGCCACAAGATGGACCTCATCCAAAGACAAAAGACGAAGATGCCTAACAGTGATGGGGAGCTGGCCCTCTTGCTGGCTAAGGTGAGTTCTAGAAAGCAAGGTGCCCTGTCATCAACCCTGTAGCCAGTACTTCCACATTCCGGTCTTGAACCCAGTGCTTACCCCCTTGTCCACCACCCTCAGGGACTGGAAATAGGAGTAGAAGAAGGTGTCTTTGATCATCAGTGGATTTTGGATGGCCAGTTCTCTCAGGAAACGGTTCTCAGCACTGGAGCCTTCCAGCATGGCCCAAGGAGAGTGGTTGCTGCGCACCAGGCCCAGCAGGGCCTCCACAGTTTCTTCCCCAGCACTCACTGTCTCTTCCTCTCTGGGGACCAGCTCCTTCCAGGTTCGCCATGTTTGAGGAAGAAATCGAGACTCATTCTGCAGAGGCAGAAACAAGGAATTTCTTATGTTTTTATTTTGTGCGTGTGCATGTGAGTGTGTGTAGGCATATGTTCACTAAGGCAGTGCATGTGGAGGTCAGAGGACAACTTGCAGTTTGTTCTCTCCTGACATAACATGGATCCCAGGGAGCAAATGCAGATCATCACGTTTTGGCAACAAGTGCCCTTATCCACTTTGCCATCTCTCTGGACCTGTTTGCTTGAGACAGGGTCTCATATAAATCAGGCTGGCTTTGAACTCCCTATGTAGCTGAAGATGACCTTGAACTCCTGATTCTCCTGCTTCTAGCTCCCAAGTGCTGGGATTACAAGCATGTACCATCACACCCTGTATAATTCAGTGCTAGGGCTTGAACTCAGGGTTTTGTGCATGCTAGACCAGCAGTCTACTAACTGAGCTACGTGCCTGGCACAATAAAATTATTTTGGGGCAGGCAGGGGTTTGAAATATCCCAGGCTGGCCTTGAACTCTCAGTTGTCCCGCCATAGCCTCCCAAATGCTGAGATTACAGGTGTGTGACTTCATACCTAAAACAGTTCAAAGACCAAGTTCCCGTCTTCAGTTGACTCTGGAGTTGGAAACTTGGAACATGCGAAATAAAAGAGATTTTATATTTTTGACAACACTTATACAGGAGATTCAACAGGAAATCTGGGGAATACTATTAATCCAGGGAAGGCTTTCTGACAGAGAGGTGGCAAGGCTAAAAGTAAACTGGACTACAGCTTTGGCAAGGTGAGTCTATTTCCAGAATTTACTGTTTCCTACCCTTCTTCCAAGCAATTACTGAAATACATCTCCTGAGATTTTATGGGTTTATTTTATTTTATTTTTTGTTGGTTTTTATGGGACACTTAAGGCAAACTGTCATTCAGCTATATTCCTCTTCCTAGATAGCTCTTTGAAGCCCTAAGGCTTAGCACAGTGTCTAGCACACAGTAGGTGCTCAACCAACATCTGCTGAATAAACAAATGAAGTGTTTCCCTGACTGGTGCCTGGTTTTCTACTAAGGGGGAAGGCCTGTTTTGCAGACACCTTAGGGCAGAGTGTAAGGCAATCTGAGGCTCAGCCACCAGCCAAGATGACCAGTCTGACTGGGACCTCTTGAGGCATCCTGAACACAGTTGGTACATCTCTGAATCTAAGCCTCACATTCAGGTTCCCCACTCAGTGCACCTGAGAGAAAATGGTCCCTCTTCGTTTGTGCTGAGCAGGACCAATTTACAGCTGGAATAATAGGAAAAGGGGCTTCACGCACACTCGGACCAGATTTCCCTTTTTTAATCTGTCAACTGTGCCCATGGCTGTTTATCCTTTTGCCTCCCCTCATCCAGGATGCAAGGCAGAGATTCTGCAGTACCCTAGCCTCAGGAGGGAAGGAGGGGCAGGGAGAAGACCCTCCCACAGTAGTCCTCAGGGAGAATGCCAGCCCTGTAGCCCCAGAACCCAGGAAGGCCATTCCCCCCACACACACTGGGCTCTCATGTGGCGCTATGGGGCAAACTGCCCCCCTCCCCTGAAGCCTGGCATCTGGAAACTGGTGTGCAGGGTTCTCTAGGCTAGCAAGAGGCTTACTGTGCTGGGTCAGCCCATTTTGGGTCGGTGCCCTCAAAGGCAGGTGGGAACTTGGTCTATGCCCCACTTCAGTGTCCTAGTCCCTAAGTCCATCCTCAGCCCCCAAATCAGCCGATTTAGAAATGACCCCATCCAAAGTCAGCTTCTGGGTCTGAGCACACCCCCAGCCACCAGCCGGTCCAGCCCACTTGGATCCCCTTCCTGGCCCCGGGTCCCGGCACCCGCACCCAGCTGCCCCTGCCGCACGGGAACTCGCGCACCGCTGCGCTCACGGTCCCGGGCACACCCTCGCACTGCGGGTCGCTGGCGCTGGAGTCTCCGGTCGCCATGCTGGGTGAACCGGGCCACACAGGGCCCGCTGCTAGGCAACCACCAGACTTGGTGCTGGGGCGCGATCTGGAGCTCTAAGCACAGGGGTGGCCACTTTCCCGGGTGAGCTAGTGGAGACCCCAGCTCAGCCCCTAACACTGGGCGCTGTCTTCTGACCTCGTTGGTAAAAACAGGATAGGCAAGAGTAGGCAGAGCCCTCCAGGCTACAGGTGGTGAGCGCCTTTCAGGATAATCTGATTCTTTCCCTTCTCCAGAAGAAAGTGGAAAGTGCTGACTATTGTGTCTATTTGGCAGATTTAGAAAGGAGAAATGAATCCAAGATCAGACATCTTAAGACCCCAATCAGCGGATCCCAGTGCGGCCCTCAGCCCAGTTTATTACACTGTCTGCGAACTGTTTTAGCAACAGACCCATTTTAGACTGAATCTTATCTTTCCATCCTCCAAAGCATTACTGAGCGGTAGGGGCTCCCCGATAGTGGTTTGTGAAATTAATGGAATGAGATCACTCCCTCTAACTGGGAAACACAACATCTTTGCTGAGATATAATTTGCATACCATGCAATTCACTCACCTGAAGGGTACAATTTTGTGATTTTTAGTAAATTCATAATGTGAGTATCTGTGTTCATAGTGCAACTCGATTTAATCTAATTTGTGACACTGTGATCTAATCAACATCTTCCCTCAAGCTACAAGGACCATACCCATGAAACAAACTCAGCTCTACATCTGCTCAGGCTATGCCAACCATTTCATGTGTAATGTTTTCAAGACTCAGCCATGCTTTTGTTAGCTTGGTTGGCTTTGGTTTTTGAGACAGGGTCTCATGGAGCCCAGACTGGCCTCAAACTCACTAGGTAGTCAAGGATGACCATGATATGATCCTCCTGCCTCCACTTCCTGAGTGCTGGGATGACAAGCATGTGCCACCACTCTCAGCTTCATCCATGTTAGCGCAGCATGATTTGAGGGAGGAGTCCTCAGCTCCCTAATATCAAAGGGTTGGCTGTCAGACACCATCACTGAGCCAAGGGACAGGTTGATGTCTTTGACAAAAATGTCATTTAAGTCCCTGAAAAGTAGTCTAGCTAACCACCATCATGACCCACAGGACAGGGGTAGAGTGCCCACAGCAAGCAGGTGGAGACTATACAGCCTGATTGCATGATGCCCAAGTGAGGTGGAGTGTTTTGTTGCTCTGTGTGTGTGTGTGTATGTGTGTGTGTGTGTGTGTGTGTGTGTG